ACTGTGGCTGACAGGAAGAGATGTCGTCGTCTGAGACAGCAGAAAGTAGCTAGTTAAGCAATGAGGTTTCTTTACAAAGATAAATTAAGAAATTAGGTTTACTTGATTATCCAATAAAACAATATTTTATTGTGAATATTATTGTTACTTGTTCATCATTGCGTCTGTGTTTTCTTTGCTGACTTTGGCTAGCTTCTTTGCATGAAGAACAACATAGTGATGAAACATTTGTCCATTCAGGGCTACTGTAGAAACATGTCGGCACAAAATTGCAAGTTAGCATGTAAGGGCACCCGTGGTATATGTAGATATAAATGGCTCATTCTAAGGTAATAAAAACATAACAGTTCATTGAGTAAGGTCTTTATAAACCACTGAAAACATAATTATGTATATGGTGTTGCATTTCTGTCAACAGATTCTCCTTAAGAAAAAAAACGTGGCTGACGTGTATCTAGTGCGTCCATGTATTCGGGTTCCAAAAAACATGGCTGGGCAATAAAATGCAAGTCTTCCTCTGTGTCAAAATCCTTAGACATGTTTGCGTAGATTGCTTTGTTAACAGCAAGCTAGTATCAATGATGTATAGTAAAACTAGACTAAAACATCACCCTCAGACTGTAAACGAAGCTCGGGCGCACCAGATACATGTCAGCAGCGTCACTGCAGACTCGTGAACGCAGATTGACAAATGAACCGTAAGAGAATACAATGATGAATAAAGTCGTAGTTTTTGTTATTTTTGGACCAAAATGTATTTTCGATGCTTCAAAAAACTAACCCACTGATGTCACGGAAGTCCTACTTTGATTATGTCTTTATTTTCTTTCTGGACAAGGACAGAATAACGTAAATACATTTTCAATGGAGGGACAGAAAGCTCTCAGACTAAATCTAAAATATCTTAAACCGTGTTCCGAAGATGAACAGAGGTCTTATACGGGCTTGGAACGGCATGAGGTGAGTCATTAATGACATAATTTTCATTGTTGGCTGAACTAACCCTTTAATAAATACATATTCAATTTTGAAGGACAGAAATCTGTCAGATTTCATGAAAAATATCTTCATTTGCATTTTGAAGATGTAGGATAGAGAATGAGTGGGGAGTTTGGAAAGACATGAAGGTGAGTAAATGAAGACAGATTTTCATTTTGAGGTGAACTATCCTACATTTGTTATTTGTATAAAAGCATTTTTATAAACTCCATTAACTAATGAAGCCATCAGCTCAGCGCAGTTCTACATACTCATAGTATCACAAGAAAACACACTTAATTGAGGAAATATATAAAAGGTCAGTGAAAAGAAAAGCATTATTTAAATTAAGAACAGAAAAGGTAGCAGCTTAGTCATATTTGCCTCTCCCTCAATAAACTGTATTAAAATGCCCCCTTACTCCACTAAACTATCAAAAGGCAACACACAACCCCAGCAGACCAGCCTGCTCCATTAGCTAGTGCAGTATCATGTTGCAATGGCCCTTAGCTAACCACAGGACCATTAGCCTCTATCCGTCTATCTTATCCCTGTCATTCCTGATGCTGCTTACCACTTCAAGGACCAGATGTCTGCTTTATCATTCAATTAAACCCATATATACACTGTCCATACCATCTGAGGACAAAACTAACAGCAAAATGAACGCACAAAGCGGACATACTTATCTACATGCTTACATACTTGCAAGTACTTTTTAAAAATAGTGAGCCAATCATCGTGAGGAAAAATAAATAAATTAATAAATTAAAAATAATAATAATAATAATAATAATATAAGACTTGCCTTTTGTTTATCAAACTAATCCATTTAAGTTAATCCATTTACCTAAAAATGTTTTTACAGTGTGAGCTATCTTGCCTATAGGGTACTAGAATCACCACCAGATTTTAGGATTCCTACACTAATCATGAGAATGAGTCTTGTGCTGCAACCAAACGGATGTCTTTAATCACCACACACACGCAGATTCCTGTCAGAGGGGTTTTCCTTAATATTGCTCTTCCAGAACCATCAGAGGTCTTTAACAACAGGATTTCGAAGTAATGGCAGGAAATGAGACAAACCAACATAAGGACCAGTTTCCTCTCCTTCTGAACATCTCAATAAAATATAATCCACATTAGCATTTCGGACACATTCTAAAGATATTTTATTCATATATCCTTGCTTTCGGAAACACTCACATTCTCTCTCTTTCCGTGATGGATAGCAGACCACCCGCAGATTTTATATATCCTCCAGAACCGCTAGGCTAAATTCAACACTAATAGCTTCATAGGACACCGTGATTAATCATGATATTTTTGGTCTTGGTGAGAGGAAGGAAAGACACTAGGCAATTAAAAAACCAGACATAAAGATTATTCATGCTGGTGTATGGGAAGTGAACCAGAGCCCCCTAGATCAGAAATGAAGTGAGCATAATTCACTACTAAACTGGCTGCACCAACTCTAAACACCCTACAAAAAGAAACATGATAATGCTCAAAGACACATCCACAGATGGAGCCATCATATACAGTAATAAAATAAATGCTAAATTGTAGCAAATATGTTGATGCATCATTGACTCACTGGGAACATTTACAGTAAAAGGAGACTGAAGCTCTGAAGAACTATCATGAAAGCTTAGTGAGAAAGACAAGCTTAACTTAAAATATTCAGGTTGAATTTTAAATAACCCATAGGTTGAGGAACTGAACCAAGTACATGAGACGTTTTGAGTATTTTCTGCTTTGTTTTCAGAGATCAGTTCAAGAAACAAATATTATAGAACTATACAACCGTTCTCAGATCTGCAGAGCCATTATTTTCAAGAGCTACCACTTTGTTTCCCATCAGTCTTTAGATGTGGTATCATCGATTTCAGATTTGCCACTAAAAATCTTATTTAAAAAAAAGCAAACTAGTCATACAGATGTCATTCAGATGGACTCTTCCTGTCTAAGCAAACATTTCTTGGTCGAAATAAGAAGCAGACCGGACCTTAACTGCGAATTAATTATATCTTCGTGGCACAGTGTTCAGACCACCATTCTAATCTGAAAAAATGAAGCCTACCCGGAAGTGCGAAAAACTGAAATACATCGAAAATCCGCTAGAGGCCAGTCCCAAAAGGGAGCAAATGTCCATATATCCCATGTTAAAATGTCAATTTTCACAGGATAAATTTATGTTTTTACAGTTTGGTCCCATGGACTTTTATTGTAATCTTCAATATGTTCTGAGTGCCTGACAACTGTGAGGGGGGTGAATTAATTTCTAACTCGTTAGTTTAGATCGTATTTAGATATAAAATGTATGACAAATAAGGCCGGTTAACTTTGATTGACAGCTGATAACGGGCTGCGCCGAGTGGAATTTGACGTCTCAGCCACGATCTGACACAACACATCATACCACCTCTGTATCCTTTCTGAACATTTGTATTTTGTATTTCCCAAGATTTTCCCATAAACAGCCTCAAAACTGTTCTTCAAAAAGTCTATAGATGACCGTCACAGACGCTTTGTCCATATATTTTACAGTCTATGGTTCAGACCAAAGTTCCTTTCGAGGAATGTCTGTTCACTCGACGGCCATTCTAATGGCAGCTGCAGTGATACAATAACTTTGATACAATGATTTTATTTAGTATTCCACCCTGTTGCGCATTGCAGTTTCTCCCATTCATAAGTAATAGGAGTGAACCATCCTTGTCTTTGTTTAGACTCAGTGGTGTAGCCTAGGTGGCAGGAGTCTATTGATCGTGAATAACTGCAGCAGTGTAGTGCTACTTCTGAGAGCACAGGGTTCAAAGAAGGTCAGCATCACTAGACATCAGAGACAATTGTACAGCATGGTGCTTCATTTGACATTCAACTGATGATTCGGCAAAAGCAGTACAGATTCTGTGCTGAAACTTAAAGAGATGATGATGATTATTTATGACTGTTCATTGTCATTGACTGTTCATTTATGACTGTTCAAAATACTAAATGGTTAAAGGGACACAATAAATAAAGATGGTTAATTCTAGATTTTTCTGTTGGTCACATATATAACTCAGGCTATTGACTCTCCCTAATTGCATTTGGACATATTACCCATCACGTTAAGTGTTATTTTAAAAAGAAGCCAATGAAATGAGAGCACTGTCTATTATTTTGCTATTTTGACTTTTTTGGCTCATCTCTGCAACCGTTCTCAGATCTGCTTTATTTGAATGAGCTACCAATTTGTTACCCATCAGTCTGTTAATGTGGCATCATCAATGTCAGATTTATCTGACACTAGTCATCTCATAAAAAAAAATCAGACTGGACTTTCAGATGTCACTCACATAGTCTCTACCTGTCTGGAGACATTAAGTTAGAGACATTAACTGGCTTTAACAAACTGTTTTCTGTCCTTTGGTGACATATTTCCTTTTGAAAAAGTTTTCCTCGAAGATAAATCTGTACTTTTTTAATATTTTGCAAATGTGTGGGGCTGGTAAGATTGTTTTTTATTATGTTTAATATATCTCATGCACACCCAGGCTGCATTTATTTGAACAAAAATGCTGCAAAAACATTAATATTGTGAAATGCAATTAAATTCAATGCTTACTTTTTTAATTGTAATACTTTGTATATTTTAAAATGTAATTCATTGGTAAATCTGAATTCAGCATCATTACTCCAGTCTTCAGTGTCACATGATCCTTCAGAAATCATTATATTATGCTTATTCGGTGCTCAAGAAACATTTCCAATTATTTCTTAATATTTTTTGTGGAAACCATGATTCTTTGATGACGTTAATTATGTAAAATGTAAATCTTTTGTGTCATTATTCATGTCTTTATTGACTGTTTTGATCAATTTCTTAAATAAAAGTATTACTTTATTTAATCTTACTGACCCCAAACATTTGAATGGTAGTGATCTAAAATGATCATCCATCTCTCTCTTTCACGAGGGAAGTCAACAATTAATGTCAGTAATTAGAATCACGCAAAAAGTATTAGACTCACATTGTAAAGGATATCCACCCATCCTTCCATAGTGATGCACTGAAAGACGGTGAGCACAGCAAACAGGATGTTGTCAAAGTTCGTTATGCCAAAGTTTGGACCGGTCCAGTATTCCCTACATTCAGTCCCGTTTTCACACGTCCGGGCTGGTTCTTCTAACCCACATGGAAAGTCAGCCGCCTGTTCCCCTGATTGAACAACATTACTGTCAGCAGTAAACTATCTCAGCATTCTTTAAAGCAACTTAATAGTGTATGAGTGATTATAAACACAATAAACCGATACCACAAGCTCCATTAGCATGCTAAAGCTCACATACCGTTATCGATTCTGAAGCAGGTGCGGTGGAACTTGCCCATGTAGAAGTCTAGACCAATGATGGCAAACATGAGAATAGCAAAGAAGAGCAGAAGGCCAATCTGAAGCAGAGGAACCATCGCTTTCATGATGGACTTCAGAACCACTTGGAGACCTTATCACACACAGAGGAAATACTGTAAGTACTGCAAGTTATATACAGAAAAGAACTGTCTAAAACAGCTAAATGCAAAGACTAGCAAGATGTGCAACAGTGTATGAATAACGATTTCTCAGTTTATCTTTTTATCTAAAAAAGAAATAAAGAAGAGGAAATCAAAAGCTTGTGGTGCATTTTATTTGGAATATGACTTACTTGGAATTCCAGACACCAGTTTGAGCGGCCGCAAGACTCTCACTGCCCTGAGTGTTCGTAAGTCAAAGTCTGGCCCCACTATGGTCAGAATCCTGTTGAAAAAAAAAACACATATAATACAGTTTATGGCAATATACAGCCTATGCGATGGTTTTTCAAGCCTTTTAATACCAAGCATCCCCAAATATAATTATCCACTTGTGATGAAAATGCCCTTTACAATACAAGAGCAGCAATAATAAAAGTAGATTTTTAAAGATCTACTTATATAATAATGTTTAATGTGATAATATACAACATTGTGTTTCTAAAATTAAATATTTGGGTTTTAAAATATCAATTTACTAAAGGCAGAGGAAAAAAAGTATATTAGCAAGAAAAAAAATTATATTTATTTATTCATATAATATATTCACATATTTATTCACTATATTCACAATATAAATATATTCACATATTTATTTACATAAATTATATAATATTTATATAATATATAATATAAATTACATAACATTATGTAAATATTCACAAAGTTTGTAATTAATGTAAAATATTTTTAAATATAATAAATAAAGTAAATATTTGACTAAGGCTGTCAAACAATTAATCGCGACGATTAATCGGATCCAAAATAAAAGTTTGAGTTTACATAATATATGTGGGTGCACTGTATATAATTATTTTATATATATATATATATATATATTTAGATATGTGTGTCAAATTAATCATTTGACAGCCCTATATTTAATATTTAATGTATTTAAAATAAATAGCCATAATCAACAGAACCAGATAACTGAAGACCTTATCAGACGTGCTACACAATCCTGAGTGACCATCTTTGGAATCATGATAGATCACTCCTAAATAGAGTGTCCTGTACATGTATATTTCACAAAGACATTTTAAAATGTATTTTTCCCATGTTGACCTGCCTTCCCTGATGGCAGCTCACAGCTGAATTGTGGGAAAAATCCTCCCTAATCTCTAGGGTACAGACACACAATCATAGCACCTGTCTGATTCTCTCACACACAGCGTCTGTGAGCACTCTGACCATTCTCGTTTCTCAGGCTTTCACATGGTGAAAGGGAGAGGCAAAACAGTCTGCATTAATATATTAATAGCATTCACTCTATCCTCAGTTCCCTTTCATTCTCTCATATCTTAGAATATCTGCTGTGAGTTTTTAGTCTAAAAACACCACACGGAAAAGCCTGACCTCACTGAGAGGGACAGCCCAACAAATTATGGCCCAAAGCACAGCTTGAATTCACAGCTGGTATGGGGACACAGTGACAGTTAACTAAATGGGTCTGGATGATGCTGAGGGCAGATGTTTGCTTGAAGACAGGAAGAAAGATGGTGTGTGGTAACTAATACTTGCAGTCAATGGCTTCAGATATAAAGAGAGAAAACTCTGCTCAGTGTATAACCTCATTTGCACTGTTCAAGATTTTTTTTTTGTCTCCTCAGGGGAAGAAAATATGAAAAGAACAGACAGGCTTATTGGAATAGTTCACACAAAAATGAAAAATATTTCCTCGTCCTTATGTTGTTTTTCAAAATATGTTCAGGCTTCTCTTTTCCATACAATGAAATCAAACAGTGATCAGGCTCTGTCAAGTGTCATAATGACACTACAAATCCATTCAATATGTTCTGTGAGCTACACTATACTTCAAAAGGTTGGGGTTGTTACTATATTTTTTTAAAGATTATTTTATGCTTACCAAAGTGGCATTTATTTTGATCATAAATACAGTGAACAATAACATTGGGAAAAATTATTACAATTAAGATTTATGATTACTTTAATATATATTTTAATTTGTAATTCATTTCTGTGATAGAAAAGCTGCATTTTCAATAGCCATTACTCAAGTATATAGTGTCATTCATTTTTTTCAGTAATCTTTCTAGACGCATTTCTTATTATTATCAATAATTGCCCATTTTTGTGGAAACAGTCCATTTTTTCAGGATCCTTTTGATGAAAGTTTAATCAGGACAGCATTTATTGGGAATATTTTTTCTTTCTAACAATATACAAGTATTTGCAGTCCGTTTTGCTAAATTTTATTCAAATAAAAGTATGAATAAAAAAAGCCTCACCACAAACTTTTGAAGAGTAGTGTATTTTGATAAATTATGTGAGAAACAGATGATGAAAGTCTGTATCTCTATATTTAAAGTTTCTTGGCGTTTTGAGTGCCAAGAAAAGCGCTAAATAAAAGTAATGAATTATTATTTTCATTATTAGTTATGAAACATGCAAAAATCAATAGCATTTGGCACTACATGAATGATTGAATGAAATATGAATGTGAATACGTATTAGTGAACTAAAAATTCTGTAATTAAACGTACCAAAACATACATGAAACTCTTTCTTCTGTTGAACATAAAGGAACATATTATAAAGAATGTTGGTATAAACAGTTCCTGGTCCCCATTGACTTCCATACTACAGAAAAAAACAATGAAACAATGTTCTTTATGTTGAACAGAAGAAAGAACTTCTTGTAGGTTTATAAAGAAACTTGACGGGGTGAATTATCCCATATCCCAATTTTGTTTTTTAAAGATTTTGAATATGCCACCAAACCGTATTGAATACTTATATGGTGCTTTTTGTCATTGACAGTACTTGACAGTCCTTGGTTAGTGTTCACTACATGCTTTTGTTGTATAAACAGAGCAGTTGGGAAATTGTCCAATACATCTACTTTTGTGTTCCACCAAAGAAAGTAAGTAATATGAGATTGAGAACTAGATTGGAGTACTCTTGACAGTTCAACAGACTACAGTTAACTCCCACGTATAGTATCAGATCAAACCACAAAGCAAAAAGATGCACATCTGCTCTCACATCTTCGAGTGTCTTTTTCCTTCTTCTCAGCCAAGAAGTCTGACTCAACACACAGTAGTGAAAAATGCTGGCTTTTTACAACAGCATAGTATCAATTCGCCTCTGCAATTCGGATGATTTACTGTCTGTCTCACTGAGGCCATGAACGAACCTGAGGATGGCTCAACCTGTATCAACACTGAGACATGAGAACACTCTAGACATCCACCAGGGAAATCCAACACTCAGGTAAACACAGTCCTTTGAAAAAATAATACTCTGCTAAAGTAAAGCACTGCACGCTGTCCTTTAAGAGCTCTGGGAGTGTAGAACATGCTAGAACTTGCTTAGCTGCTTGAACAAAAAGACTCAGTATTTATTTACTAATGAGGTCACAAGCAAACATTGCCTAATTTCAGATTGTTTGCCAGGTTTGTAATGGCATAAAATCTAAATTAATAATAATAATAATAATTTTATTATTTTTTATTTAATATTATTATTAAAATCTAAATTATGGTTCATCAGTCAGAATATAATTGTAAACTATAAATAACAGTTGAGTCTTCAGTTATTCCCTAAAATATGAGCATACAAAATGTTGACTGTATTATCTGTTCATGTGTCTTGAGAGAAGAATTGCTTGCACGGTTTGTCTTTGGCCTCATTTGCATTTTAAATTTTTTTATTATTTTCTTAATTTTTTTGCTAGAAATCTCTAAGAACTAGACGTGTCAGTCGGACCTTGTTGCTTGAATCTTGAGCAAGGTCAAATCATTATAAGAGATGCACCCAAAACACATTAAAGATTCATAGACTGCCTTTAGTGCACTGCTCAATCTTCAGAAGATCTGAGAGGCTAATGCACTAATTATAGGCCGAAGGATGTCACCTAGATGGTACTACGTACTATTTAAAGTTAGTGCCGTATCTCCTTCAGTGGATTTTACATGGTCAGACACTCTGCCCCACATTAGGCAGTGTGAAGTCAGAGAGCCACAAACAGAGAAACACAAATAAAAGAGTCTGCCTGAGAATTAAACAAACACCCTCTCAATGTACTAAAGGTAAACAACATATAACATTAGACAAGACATACATCTGAACATTTACAGCTGTTTCTTCAACTATGGCCACCTTTGGACAGTGAGGCCTCCAATTGCTTAATTTGTCTAACAATCTTCAATTAGTGTAATATACATGCATGCAATGTATAATTCAGCCACATTTCTGAATGTTATGAATATTTCAACCACAGCGTAATCTCGATCACATCACAAATTGTGTGGCTTATGTGAGCTTAATTGAATACAAGCTTATAAAAGTTAGCTTGTATTCTTAAAGCACACAAATTATTTTACATTGATTTTTCTTGTTTTCCTTACATATTGTCAAAGTTTGAAATAACATTAGCACTATTAATTCTCCTCACACTACTATCACATACATACATCTCAAGTTAGCAACATAAAAACACACACGCTCTTGCTGGGAGATTAGCTACTTAATAGAGCTGAAGAGATCTGCAGTTATACTCCAGCGCTAATGGCACAGCAGGAGACTCAAGAGTAAAAAAATAAAACAAGCGATTGAGACGGGATTTTTTCAACAGTCTTCACGCCAACAGGACAACTGGAAGACAACCGAATATTGTCTTCTATGTTTCTTTTGTCTTAAAGGATTAGTTCACTTTTGAAAAAACTTTTGCTGATAATTTACTCACCCCCATGTCATCCAAGATGTCCATGTCTTTCTTTCCTCAGTCGAAAAGAAATTTAGGTTTTTGATGAAAACATTCCAGGATGTTTCTCCATATAATGGACTTCAATGGGAACCGGATGGTTCAAGGTCCAAAAGACAGTTAATAACTGTTTTAGATGCAGCTTCAAATGTCTTTAAACGACATCAGACGATGAATAAGGGTCTTATCATGCGAAACGATCGGTTATTTCAAAACTTATTCCAAAAATGTAACTTTTCTAAGGACAAATGCTAGCCTTGCTCTATTCTGTGAGGCGCGTTTGCAACGTCACGTATTACGTAATTAAGTTAAAAAGGTCACGGGCGACGTAGCCGAAAGTACAGAGTCAGTGTTTACAAGTTGAACGCATAGGTTGAACGTGCAAACTAGCTCAAACACCGTTTACAAAAAAAGGAATTAAAAGGAAAAACAACGATGTCGGACGATTTTGATTCTGTACTTCCGGCTACGTCGCCCGTGACCTTTTGAACGTAATT